AGATAGATAGATAGATAGATAGATAGATAGATAGATAGATAGATAGACACACAGACAGACACAGGTTTGTCTTTCTGTTTTCATGTGGACTTTGCATTGACTTCCATTCATTTTTTATTAATTTATATAGCCTAACCCTGACCCTAAACATTACCAGTACATACCTAACCCTAAACCTAACCATTACCAGTACATACCTAATCCTAACCCAGCCTCAATTCACACCTTAGTCCTAATCCTATCCCCTAACCCACCAACGACACTTGAACCTTATAGGGACAGATTTTAGGTCCCCACAAAGCACAGCTGGTCCTCACAATGTAGTATGTGTTGAAAATTGGGCCTCACAAAATAACATAAACAAGCACACACACACACACACACATCTCTGTGTATTTCAATAGCAAACTTTTTTATGTATTTTCTGACATTTGGAACTTTTGCTCTCCATCCATTCATGCAATCATGCAGGAGATGACAAAAGATTAGAAACAAAGGAGCAGTTCATGTTATATCTGTGTGTATTTCATGTGAAATCGTGTGCATTATTGTTCAACCACACTTACCGCTGAGGAGGAAGTGAGGACAAGTGAAGGAAACATTTATGGAAGTGAAATAGACGTGTCGTGATGCGTATCAGAGGATTGATCAGGTGTCCTGTCACGGTCATGAGATTTCTCTGGAACAAGAACAAGAACCTGTCCGTGTTCACAATTTCATAAAAGGTTACTCTGATCACGTAAAAAAAAAAAAAACATCCTTTCATAAGGAACAATTATCACTGATGGTGATTTAGGAACCCAGTAATTATATGCTGAAAAGAAAAGCACATTTGGAAAATTACCTGCACTGATGTATGGAGGAGTTGTTTTTTTTACCTTCCATTATAACCACTAACTGAGCCTTTAATAGTTTTTATATAATCACATTGACTAAATTTAGTTTTATTCTGATTCTCTGACGAGGCAACGGATGACTACTACCACTGAATGCAAGCACGCGTTGTGGTTTTGAATTAAATCACCTCTGAACTTATTGTCACTTTCTCTGAACGCGCTGCTCTGAAAGGAAACGCCACTGCTTCTCTTCTGACTTCAATGACACTAATTAAAAAAAAAAGAAACGCTTAAGACCAAAAATGATTAAAAACTTTGATTTTCACACTGTATTTTACTCAAAGTAAAGCCTTTTTTTTCTGAATGAAATCAAAACCTTTGGAAACTAGTTTTAATCTTCTGAGGTACTTCCTCAAAATCCACTATTATTCCGTTTTTAACATTTATTGAGAACTACACATTTTACACCACATCCACTTTTGTTCTTCTGCCTTGAGGATGATGTAAAGAAGCACAAACAAATGTGAGCTGTTCATTAACTCTCCTACTTCCTCTGCTTTAGGGAGCTGGGTCTGAGAGATGTACCCAGCAGGTTGAAGTTCCATCCATATCACATCACCAGGCCAGTGACGTTTGTTGTTAAGCTGGGAGAGACAGTAGCTACCAGTTCTTTGAAACGCAAAGCAAACAATGTTTTTGTCTCCAATTGTCTTTGCATCACTGTGTTTTTCCAACAAAGTTCCTAAATTCTGCCTGTCAGAGTGAGACGACTTAAAGAAGGAAATGGAAACAAAGAAAAGAGGAAATCAAGGAAGCTGCTTTGTCATGCTTTACTTATGCAGTAAGAAGTAGACTGAGTTCTTGAACAATGACGCTATGCTATTGAATGCAACACTCTCAAGTCACTTTCCTTCTTGTCTTGAAAGTATACTCTGTATAGGTTTCCCAGTTCTTCCCCAAAACGTTCATATGTACATGTAAGGTCAAATTCATAACTGTCAGTTCATTCTAGATTTTGTTTGTTTACTTACTGCAAACTAGGAAAGTAGCCTTCAGAACAAATTAACCTTTGACCCTGGACTCTTTGGCACTTGCATTAAAAATGTCCCGTCTTTAACATTTTGGTATCAGAATGCAAATACAATATTCAAATCAATTAGAAAGTTCCTGGAGAAACTTTGACAGGGATGTGGCGGCCATTTAAAATGTTTGATTTGACAGCACTAAGTGTTGGGGATGGCTCTAAGCTAACACTGTATCAAATTTCAGCTCCAAATTGCAAAATATCAATGAGTTAAAATATTTTTTTTTTCTGTTAAGCTGTGGTAAGCATCTTGGATTATTTATTTGGATTCAGTATGTGATAGGGAAGGTTCTCAGCTATAATCACACCAAACTTCAGCTGTGTGTGCAAAAATAGCTGAGTTAAAGCCATTTAAATTTAGCTTTGGCAGCCATCTTGAATATTTTTTGATTAATTATTTATTGGGTAATGCCCTCACACCAAATTCCAGCTTAATATGTCTAAAAATGGCAGATTTACAGTATTTTTCCTTTTTAGCTCAGGCGGCCATCTTGGACATTTCATTTGCAACCAGTCTATGAAAAATAACATAAAAATGGTGTCTTTGTTTGCAAATTACGTCACCATGGTAACTCAAAAACGCCAATATAAGTAATAGCACACATTACAGCACCGAGCTGATCATTTTGATGCATTTGTACACATTGTGGTTCGGGCCACATTAAAGTTGATGGAAGAGTAAGATATAAAGTTAAGAAACCCTTTGTTAGGTGGATAATAACAGGTGTCTGCCTTACTCGGCAGTCCCCTATTAGTGAACCTTCTTTTAAAGTTAAAGTCAGGCAAACTGGATAGTTTTTGATTCCTATCTTCATGTTGAATATTGTCTTCTGGATGTGGACTTGAATGGAGCTCAAAGCAACAAAATCTTGTCACATGACAAAAAAAGCTAAAAGGCAAATTGTCATAAATGTCTTTGATCTGAGTTTCAGCTTTGTCACTAATGAATGGAAATCCTCATGTAAATAAGACACTGTCCGGAACATGCGTAGTTTCATACAATTTATCTGCATGCCAAAAATAAGAAGGTAGTAAAATAATACTATTAGACAGGGATTAAGGAATATCAGCAATGACCATTTTTATTTAAAAACACTCTATTTTTAACCAAAATATGCAATCATGTCTCTGATGTCCATCCTTTAGCTGCATGGTTTAAGTGTGGTTTGTGTCCTGAGCATCAACACACACACTTATTCACACACAAAGGAGAATTACTGTTTATCAAATGATTAGTTTGATTGTTCAGTGAAGCAGAGTGAAGTATTGAATCCAGCAGCAGCTTGGTAAATTACGCAGCCACGCTTCCTGACTGCGAAGTGTTGACAATATAGGACCTAAATCTCTGTGCTAACAATACGAACCGTCCTTCACAGCCGTTAGCTTTCTCACATACAATAATCCTCTGGATTTATTTATTGTTTTTACTAAAAAGCCTGAATAACTCATTACTGTTGGATAGTTGCATTTTGTCAACTGTCTGAATCAAAAGTGTGTTTATAACCCTGTGGCCTTATAATCACAGTTCATCTTGCCGACCTTCTCCGAGCAGAACTTTAAAGGAAACTGACACAAACATTCTGCCTTCAGAGCTGCCAGGAAAACCCTTTAAACCATCTAACAAAGTTCTCTTTTTGTAGTCTGGTTTCCATAGGAACATTTAAAAAGACTTCAAAAAAGGGTCAAAATTTTAACGTGTAAAACCAAAATAAAGAGTCTCTTCTTCATTATAGTCTTTAAATGCCAGCAGATGCTGACCTCTGCCCTGACGTAGCCCTTCTCAGCAAAAACAACCAAAGAGCACAGGAGAGAAGAATCAATTCTGTTTCGGGCCTCGTTCTTCTTCTTCTTCTAAACTGCCAGGCCTGTGGTATGTTCAGATTTAATTCTCCACTGGCGTCGGCTCCTGGGGGACAGCAGACACTCCTTCCATGGCAGCTGGCCCACAAGCCTCTGCTGTATGTCCTGGTGGAGTTACAGGCTCTGGTGGTGGACGCTGGCTGAGGATAACCTGAACTACATAATCCCTGGAAATGTTGAGTTGATCCAAGCGCAGCCTGTCGGTCAGCGGCCGACCTGAGAAAAACCAGCGTTGGGTTGTGGCAGGCACGCCCTCTAGGCTTTGCAAACGACGCTTCATCATGCCCACCGTGTCCGTGGAGCGGACCGCCAGTCGGAGGTCACGGCCCGTGGAGAGCCGAAGCCGAATCTGACACTCGCCACCTGGGACGGGGTCGCCGGAGCTGCCTGTGGATGGGTCCGCCGACACCGAGTCTGGATCTGAGCCGTCGGGCTCATCGGAGCGCTCTTCAATCATGTTGACGGGGGGAGAGAGGCAGTAGACCGGCAGCTGGTAACGGTTCCCGAGTTCATCGTAACATTCAGTCAGAGCTCCTGTGGGGAAAAACGAAAACAAAGAGAAAATTTAATTTCACACTGCCCGCCACCTCTCATGTCAGAGTTTTGCGGTGAGTTCATTTTAGGATGAGAAATGACAAAAATGTAGCTGTTCTGATCCAACCTTGATAAAACCTTTATACACAGTCTTATGAGATGTTGCAAGATGTTACACTCAGAGCATCGTGAATGACTCGGATATCAAAGTTCATGCTAAAAAAAATCCAAAGTTTGGGCAGGTCATCTGGACGGTTACTGGGCATGAACTTTGATGTTTGGAACCACTTTGGCTATGGCTGCCTCAGAGGAGTCGACGGGGGAGAGGGCGGGCCCCAGAAACCATCTTATCACCAGCAAACTGGTTGATCCACTATGTGAGTGTGCTGCTTGTGGGACTCTTGTTGGGTCTCCTCGGACTGATGAAGTCCTTTGGATGAAGGACAAAACTTCTCAAAAAAAAAAAAAACGTCCAGATGACCTGACTGAACTTTGTTGGACTCTCAGATACCACCACATCAAATTTTATCACCGTATATCTCCACTTGAATGAGTTATAGTCATTTTTGTGTTTTTTATGCCCAACTAGCTGCAGCAGCCATCTTCAAGTGATTTTACTCCCAATGTTACTTGGTTGTAGACATATAGGCTGTTCTTAACTTTATTTTCCCTTTATTTTCCTGTAATTTTTACAAAAGCATAATTCAACTTATTTCTCTGAGCCAAAGAAATAAATAAAATAAATTGACGTAATACGTGTCCATGATATTCCAGCAGGGAACTTGAAATAGCAATATACATATGTATTTTAATACCTATCCTTATTATGACATCACTATTTCTATCTGTAATTTGTTGTATTGTGGAACTCCACTACACATACTGGAAACAATAAATCCTTGTTTACAGCAAGTTGTCTCTTACAGTAACTCATTCAAAAACATGTAGGAAAGCAATTTTTATATGTCAAAAGTAAATGAATAACTGGGAGTGCACTCAGGTTAGCTGTTATACTTAACAAAAGAATAGTCTGTAAACTTTTACCAATTTTTTTTTTTTTTTTTTTAGATTAAATGATCAATGTTGGTATTTTAAGGCAAAAATAATGTTTAATGGGCCTCGCTTGACTGATCTGAATAACTTTCTGACATGTTTACTTGCACTGTAGTTAAAAACAAGTAACCTTTCAAAAGTTTTTATTGTTGCAGTAAAAACACGAAAAGCCAAACAGTTACATCCCTTTTCCCTTTAACCAAATTTACAATTCCCATTACTCCGTAATATGACAAAATGGAGAAATGAGAGTTAAAGCAGCTAAAAAACAAGACTGAAAGAAAGGATCAGAAAGCAAAAGCATGGAGAAAAGAAAATGTCATTTATCGGAGTGTAATTTATGACCCGGTGTGATTCAAACGTTGAAAAGAAACAGCTGAAGGATGAGGGGGAAATAAGAAGCAGGTCATATATTTTTCATGGGAGAACCCCAGCATCCCTCTGGGGGATTTCAGCGAGACAGGTCCAACACACAATAATCCAATAACTGTCATACCTGATATCGCACAGAAATTTTATTGTGGTGATGGGTTTTTTGATTGCAGGTTTAGCTCCTTCTAGTTTCTGATTAAATTAAAAAGTAATCTCAAAACACCTTTATAGCCCTCAATGTCATTTTAATGTTTTGTAAAAAAAAAAAAAAAAGCAATAACATTGCAATTCAGATACAGCTAAAATGTTAGCACGTGGATAAAATAAAAAAAATAAATAAAAAAAACGTTCTCCAAAAGCTCAGTGCCCCATGGTTTTTCTGCAAACATTTCGAAAGGTCACCGCATCGCTTGTGCAGCTGTGCGACTTAAAACGTACCACGAGCCACACGAGAACGACGGTGAGTTCTGTGGTAAGTGACAGCGAGCTGAAAATCCCACAGGCTGTTGCACTATGATGCCTAGATCAGAGCTGCTGAATAGGAAATAAGTGGATGTTAGAGTAAATGCAGGTGTCAGGAAAGGGTTGCCTGAGTCAGTGCGAGAGCCAAGATCAGAAACGGTGAACCTGATAAACTTGGTTTCTATAATGTGCTGAGATCAGCATTCATAATATTCATTGTCAACTTTCATAATACTCACGTGATTGGGACAGTATGAGATAAAATGTTAATGAAAAAAATACTTCAGACAGGTGCCGCCATTTTCTAGTTTTCTTCCAATAAGCCTACACTGTAACGCAAGTCAAAAGAACTACACTACCCAGAAGCCAACAGTGCTTCTGGCCGCTGCTTTCTGCTGAAATGGAGGGAAAGTTTTGCAACGCAAAGTCAGAACTAACAATCTATCTATTAAGTTCACAGAACTGGCAGGAAAGTCGCAAATAATCCTGAAGCTCCATTATCAACGTGCACATCAACCTGGACGGGGCGGTGGGCTTCTTCACTGCTGGGTGGGTCTGCCGAAAGGGAACCGAGTCTGACCGGAACCGAGCTGCTGGTCTGCGGAGCTGGTGAATACCCATATAAAACGTTGCAGAACTGTACAGTACTGTTGTAAAATTACGTAGGGTTGAGTTTAGAACATTATTAAGAACGTTGCAAGTGGCACCGATTTCTTTAATTTTGGAAGCTCGGACGACACTTGCATGAGAAACCGATTTTACTGATTTTTTTCTAGTTTTAACAACAACTGTCTAAACTTCATTTATATTTCAGAGCATTACCTCATTGCCAGTTAAAACAAGTTTGTACTGTTTCTAGGATATTGTTCAAGGGTATGTTTTCATTAAAATAAGATCGGAAAATTGAAGGTGCATTGTGAACTTATAACACCTGACAGTGTCGCTTATAAAACAAAATCGGTATCGACAGGTCGGGCTTTTTAGAGATCGGTGATCGGTCAGAAAACTGCAATCGGTGCACCCCTAGTTGTAAGTGTGGGAAGAGTTTAAAGCCTTAAAATATTTATAAATATTAAATAAATATAGCGTTCCTACTTCGTGGTTTTTCACCTATCGCGGTGGTGTGTGGAACATAATCCCCGCGCTAGTCGAGGGACTACTGAATGTGTTTACCGCATTAAATTAATCTGGTGAACACTTGTCTACATTCATTTACAAAAGAGGAGAAAGCAGCACAAAAACTGCCACGGGCTTTTAAAATGGACAAAAGTGTTTCAGTATCTTTCTGGAATCATTCTTTTCATTGAGCTCAGTTCCAGTCAGCTGAGAAACAAAAACAAAAATGATTGACCTGGAAATGTGGATTTGCAACATAAACACATACTCGTTTATTGATTAATCACAGACACAATCTGTGCACACACAGTAGAGATCGGTTGTGTTGTAAATAGTGTGCTGGACTTTCAGACTATTTTGGGAAGTAAAGTGTTTAGGCGTGCTGTATTTCACATCACTGTATCCTATTGGCTTGACTTGGTTGGAGCCAAAACAGCTCAAATCAATTAAGTTTTCCAAATGAGAAAAGGAAACAGACACGACAAGAAAAACCAGCTGTACCGCTCTTTACCTCGAAAATGAAAGGTGCCTTAAATAACCGGCATATTGAGTCATCCACGGACATTCAATCTTTGTGTTGATGACACAAACAAAAGTTACATAGGTAAATATTGCCCAAGGTTTGGAAGTATACACAACCTCCCATATTTAACAACACTCAAAGGGTTACCATAAGTGTTGCCCCAACAGGGACAATGACACTTCGTATAAAAAGACTGATATAAAGAGCCCAAAACGTATGTTTAGGCTGCCATTGAAAGAGATCTATGATTTTAATAAGATTTGCCCGGTTAAAGGTTAAACACATTACATACGTTAAAAAAATAATCTCCTGTAATGCCAATTTAAGTCTGTTGAGCAGCTATTTACACTGCTTAGATCACAAAATAATACAAAATGAATCAAACCTAAACTACCATCAGTCTAAATGCTATTAATTAGCTTTGTGCTTCAGCTAATATGACCTCAACAAAAATCAACAGCATTGACCACTCTTAACTGAAATCAGTCTGAAATAAACATGTTTTAGAAGCGGACCTGCTTCGATTTTGATTTCGTGATTTTTGTTTCAAACGACTCAAATTAGCTTTTGTAACAATATACGCCTCTACCCTTGGACAACGGTTGGATCTTTCCCATAACGCCGTTTCCCTCAGGATGAACTGTAACAGCAAGAAATACAAAAACTTTTCCAAATATGTATGAAACTACGGTATCACTACATCCTGAGTCCAGGCCTCACATTGAACGGTGAACAGTGTAAACTAACAACGGTCAGCGTGTTAAAACATTTCACATGCTTTGCACTAAGACTTTTGCCCTGTTATTGTAAACATGTTGACATGGAAGATGTGTTTTTTGGCTAAAGGCTGCACATTGATCAAGCCCAGCCTCGGAGCAGCTAGTCTATTGCCTAATGTTAATCTGAGAAGCTGAGTAGTACTTTTTTTGTGCTACGATATCATGTTCTAAAAAAAAAAGCTCTGTCCACGAGGTTGACCATGTTTTCTTCAACATACAAACATCAGACGAGCATACTGAGAAAAGCAAGCCCTTCAAGCTTTGGTATTTTTATTTGGCATTTATTTCATGACTGATGGTAACTGGTGCATAATAAAATAAAGGGAGTGTAGTTTGCAGTCAAATTAGCTTGACTTGTCATTGGATTATATTATAATTGTTAAAAACAATTGCACAGAAATCAGAGCTAGATGATTTGTTGCCCCTTTTTTCGCTTGACTTCCGAGGCTAAACTGAAGAATCCTGAGCAAATCTTTCCATTAGCTTCTCATTTAAATGCAAAAACGGAAAGGATTTTAGCCGTAACGTTTACAGATCTCCCTGGTCCTGATTGAGTGAAACAGTGATGTCAGGTTTGGGGAATTCACAGCTGCAGCCCAGCAGGATCTAATCCGACCTACTAGCCAAACTAACAAGGAGGAATAAAACAAAAAGGCCGACACTGGAAACAAATAAACCTTATTTTTGTTTCACATCTTGAGAATATCAACAAAATCTTGCCCACTTTTGGCTGTCAAAAAAATAGACCTAGAACTAGGCTGACATTTGTGTAGAAAAATATTTGAAAAATATGGAGCAGTTTAAAAAAATAAAATAAAATACTGTGCCTACAAAATTAAGCTGACGGAGTGGCAGGAGTGTAGAGAAATATCGATTTTTGGTCTGTACGTGGCTTTTAGCACGTTTATAAATAGAACAACTGAAGCAATTAGGCTTTTTGATGAACTGAGAATAAGTTGAGTTTCTGGCATGAGGTGTAACTCTCCCTCAGACACACACACTTCTACTTACTATGAAAGAAACCACACAGGTGAAACTAAGAACGGAAATCATGACAAAGTGTTACATCATCATCCAATTCACTCCTTGGATCAAAAAGCTTCATTGATGGTCCCAGTCAAAAAATTTACTTCCCTAAATCTAAACGTAAACGTGGACTGAAACAGAGCCCAGGTATTTCACAACACTCAGAATCATCCTTCACCTTTCACCTCATATGTGAACCAAATAAAAGAACGGCATGTTGACAATGACTGAGCGCAGGCTACGACATTTATAAAACTTGTTCTAAGGAAAGCTGGGGCACTGGGTGAATGTTCATGAAGCATTCACACTATTGTGATCCATTTTTCTTCTATACATTTTTCAGAATCTGTCTCGTTCCACAATTTTTGTGCTATTTCAACAAATCATCTCAAAATGTTCAGCTCATTCAGGAGAAAGGTGATATGACTTTTGGTTTTGGTGCAACTTTAGCTTTTTGAAATATTTAGCCTTTTCGGCCACTTTTTCCCCCATAGAAAATGAATTGAGCTCATTTTATCTCCTTCAGATCTTTAGATCTGTTTACAACCATTTACTGCTCCTTTCACATTTTGTTCTGGTTCAGATTCTTTCAGCTCCTTTGTGCAAATTTAAAAACTTTTTTCAGCTACTTTCAGCTGTTTTTTTTCCACTATTCTGTGCTCCTTTCAGATTCTTACCACTAACTACAACATTTTTGTGCTTCTTCTAACTCCTTTCTGCTAATTTCAGTTTGTTGTGCTCATTTCAGTTTATTTCTACAAGTTTAAACTTTTTCTGCTATTTCAACTACTATTTAATTGTTTTATGCTAATTTTAGCTTTTTCAGTTAATTCCACATATTTTGCACTATTTTCAATTTTTTTCTGACTAATTCAGCAAAAATGTGCTCTCTCCACTTCCTTCTGGTAACAATTTTTTTTGCCTTTTTAGCTACTTTTCAGCTGTTTTTTGCTAAGCTCAGCTTTTTTCAGTGAATTTCCATATTTTTCTGCTTCTTTCAGCCTAATGTGGCAAACATGTTCTTTCTGCTTTCTTTTGCTAATTTAAACTTGTTCTACCTGTTCAGCCTCCTTTTTAGCATTTTCTAGCTAATTTAGTCTGTTTTCAGATAAATTCAAGTTTTTCATGGTAATTTTTCCTACTTTCAGCCTAATTAACGTCTTTCTGAGCATTTTAGCTTGTTATACTCCTTTTAGCTTAATTACGCTAGTTTCAGCTTTTTCTGCTATTTCAGCTACTATTTAGCAGTTTTTATGCTCATTTTAGCTTTTCAACTAATTACACTTTTTTAAAAGCTAATTTTAGCTCTTTCCACTTCCTTCTGGCAATATAATATTTTTTCTACCTTTCAGATACTTTTCATTCAATTTTTGCTAATTCTAACGTATTTTTTAGTTAATTTCCTAATTTTGTGCTAATTCTTAAACCAAATTCAGCAAATATGTGTTCTTTCTGCTTTCTTCTGCAACTTAGCCTAGTTCTTCATTTCAGTATGTTTTTAGCTAATTTCAGCTGTTTCTCAGCAAGTTCTTCTGCAATAAGCATTCACACAGCATTTTTGCAGAAAATGCAATTTCTCTACTTTCAGGTAAGATAAAAAAAAGACATCTTGAAAAAGACAAGAAACTTGCAAAGGAACAAGAAACATTAGATAAATTTGAATTTAGCCTTAGCTTCTAGGCAGCTATCGGTCAACATCAAAACCCAGGCAGATATTTTTTGAATATGCATGATTTAATAAATGTTGAATCTTTCCAATCTGTGATAATAAGCATGGACTTGCTTTAATGTGGGTAATTATCGCTTGTTGTCAAAGGAAAGAGATAACATTTCTACCCATGTGTCCGTACATGTATTCGTTTTTCTGTCCTGTTAGCAAAACATTGCAAACAACAGGTCAGATTTTAAAGAAACTGTCAGAAAAAAAGTCATTGGATGTACAGGTACACCTAATGATTAACTTCTAGAGTCAATTTAATTTAAGCTGGGTGCCACAGCTAAGAAACCATCTGTTTGTTAAAAAATATATCATGTCCCAAACAGCTATAACTTTGTTTCCTTTTATCATAAGATGATCCTTGTTGAAAACGTGGAGATAAAAAGTTGCAGGTGATGTGCGTTCCTTCAAGAAATGCTAGACCTTCGATTTATCATTATAGTGTGAAGTGTTAATATTAGAAAACTTACTGTCTGTCAATACTGGTACAAAAAGCCACAAAGAAAATTAACAGAAGTTTTACTAACGACATTAATGTCCATGTATAATTTTGACAGGAGCTGTTTGTCACTGCCCTGAAATGTGTTTTAAATATGCACTCTCTCGATTATATATACCGGTATACATTTCAGGGATTCCTTCGTTACGTTCTACTTTCAGGGGATGAAGAGCACACCCCTTTTCATTTATTATTTACTGATTCTTTCTGCGGTACATACAGTGCTGTCCTTTCCATCTCTGAAAAGTGGTCATTGAGATTCATTAAGAGGTTCTTAGACTCCTTTAAGCTGCAGATTTAATGATGCAGACATTTATCATCTAGTTCAACAAAACGTCAATAGTCGCACGGCCAATAGGAGCAGCGCAGAAGTACATCACCCAAGCAGAAATGAATAACAATATGCGGCTAAGATTACTTCCTGTTTATGGCACTTCAGCATCAGATGACACCTAAAACTGAAGCACACTTCCTTGAGACGCTTTACTACTTTGTTTAGGTTCTCAATTGCATTATGCCACCTAATAATGCTTGCAGCTCCAGCTAGTGGTAAAGGCTGGAGTTTGGTGAAATAAATTAATTGTGACCTGAGAGAGAAATTTGATGGGTTTATTCATTTAATAATCTCAAACTATTAACAGCAAACCAACAAAGTCCATGCTCAATAATCCAGGTATTCAATCCAACAATTTTCAGTCAGGTCATCTGGACAGTTTTTGGGTTGTGCGTTTCCTTGACTGATGAAGCCTTCTGGATGGAAGGTGAAACGTTTCAGCACAAAAAAAAAAAGAAACTGTCCGGATGACCTGACTGAAAATTGTTGGATATTAACAGCAAAATTATCTACTTTTCGCAAAAGAAAAGTAGTAAATCAACCTGATGAACAGTGGCTTACAGACTTCAGCATATCTGTGTTTTGGCTCTGACACAAGCATGGGAGTCTCAGTAGCATGTAGCATGACAGTATTGCATCTTACCATGTGGCAGTGTGATGCTGGCCCCGTCAAGGATGGCCTGAGCCAGTAGGTGGTCATTACTCTCAAAGGCACTGGCCGCAGCCCGCAGCGCATCCCAGATCTCCTTCCGGCCCTCGAACGCTGGCGCCGTATCCCAGAACTCATCTCTTTTGCTGCGCAGCTGGCCTTCAGTCATCGGGTAGTCACTTTTCCATTTAGGCCGCTCTCTCTTTAGGGGCTGGTTACGCCCTAGAGCCACTGAAAGTAAGGATGAGAGAGAGGGATTAGTCAGAAAAATGAGAGACGAGAAAAGCCCAGTGGTGGAAAAGGTAGATAAAGGGAAACCAAGAGGGGAAGACTGTAAATATTAATACAGAATGAATGAGGTCGGGAGGAAAGTGTGAAATTAAAAAGTAAAGGGAATTACCAAAGCAAGGAAAAACAACAAGGAATGCAAAAAGGATCACAGAGGACAAGAATAAACTAAAAGAGGAATTATCTAAAATAAAGAATCTGTCTTTTTTATGTTCTACTAAACTGAGTAAATTAACAAAAATAAGAGATTAAATAGGGGACTGTGCACCATCAGCGATACACAACATGCACACAGACTGTGCCGAACTGGATCTAGAAATGATCCAATATAAACCCCATTAAAACATTAGGCTAATTGTAGCGCCAAACGGTGCTCCATCTGCAGCAGAACGGCGGATGAATAACACCATCTGGATCGCCTCAGACGAGGACGATAGGTACAGGACGGAGTGCATGTTTGTTTCCCAGAATGCAACACAAAGGCGGGGTAGAGGGAGGAAGAGGATGAAGGATCAAGGTGTTGAGTTCCACCTGCTGCTGATCACATAACACAAACTGATAAGACTAAACTTCAACTGACTGTTTATAGTAAATAAGAAATCAACTGTGTGAGAGACCATCTGCATGTTTAACTACCTACAAACCAGAAATCTACCTTTATGTTAGAAAATATGCAGGGCTAACAGAATGCCACATTTTAAACAGAAGTATAAAAGCACTTCATAATAATCCCCAACCAATAAATGAGGGAGATACTGGGTCTTTAAAAGTTAAAAACAAGATCGGATTTATTTTAAAATGATGATTTAAGGAACATGTTAGGTGTTGCATCAATAAAATCAAATTAATTAAAAAAAAAATAGCAACACTCTTTTGTAAACACACACCATATGTCTTAATTATGTGATTATGCAAAACATTGATAAAATGTTCAAAAACAAAGAGTAACTGTGATTTTTTTTTATTGACTTTGATCAATTTTCATAAGTTTCTGAAAGAAAGTGATAAAACTCTATTTTTTAACCCATTTTTCTTCATTTGTGCTTCTTTTACTATAGTTCAGCAGCTCAACAGATCATCTCCGGGCTCTAAACTCGTTCATCTGGTTTTCAATGAGCACCGACGTCACAAGAGTCCCACATTTCATTTAGCCATAAACGTTCCAACTATTTTCTATATGAAAAGACACTCGTTTCAAATTTGCAGTTCTTGCTGGTTTACGATACATAGAAACGGATTATAGAGGTTTGAAACTGTATTCTCATCAAGAATTAAAACAAGTGCACTCAACACAACGCCCAGATTTGCAGCTAAACAATGACATCTAAACGGCCAAAGCTCAATAAAAACATTTTGACAATCCATGCACTCACAAGCATTTCCCATCAAGAACTGAATACTCGTAAAGTAGATATTTGAATTTTATGTCTCCTCATAGTATCCTGCTTTCCAGCTTGGGTCAGTCAGCAATTCATAATTATATCTTTATTAAGCACTAGCCTAATTGGCTGCCCTTCAGTATATCCCATGTAGGCCATGTACAGTATGTGTAACATATTTTTCCCACCATGTGACACTAAGTAAAAGTAAAACTGATAATGATGTCTGCTTCAATGTGAACATAATCAGATTGGCTTGTCTCTTATTATCATCAGTAGATTTGCCAAGAGACAGCTGCTTGAGAAAGGGACAACCATTTGATACTGAACACTGTTTTTAAAGTAAAATGTCAAATCCAGTCAGACAGAAGAAAAAAAAAAACTATGGGAGTTGTCAAGATAAATGTACAAGACGAGGAGCGGACCAAGGAAGTCAAACTGTATCTGAACATCTGAACTTCTCCTCCCCCCTTGTCCAGATTTATCTCCCAGTCTGTAATTAAAATAACCCAGTGGATCCCCTCCTCACACCAGACACACCAAACTACACTGTAAAGTTGCCTACATGACTTAAAATCAATTAAAATCTCTAAAAAACACAAACAAACAAGCAGGGCTCAGTTCAATCAACAAAAGTAAATAAGTGAAGGAAATGCCACAGTCTGGTAATAATTCCTGTATCAAGCTTCATGATTTGCAACAGTCCTTTTCATTCTAAACAAAAAAGTAGAATTGAACACCTGCAGGAGGTCACTTGTGTCTGTTCTGTTTACAAAATGTATTCAAAACCCCACAGATTAAAAAAAAAACCCACTTCCTTTACCATTAAAGCTGCTGCAAAGTTGTGACACTTCCTGCACTCTGTGCACCAAACACGTTTCCAAAACACTTCACAGTGAACACAAAAGACTTTCACAGCGGGTGTAAATGCAAAATGAAGGCTACAAGTCGAAGTTAAGAAGATTTGGATCATTTAAATCACTCTGAGTCTCTGCTGAGAGGACCCTGTTTGCCTGTGACCCACATTTGTTGTACATTCAGCTAGCTAGCTAACTAGCTCCGTTTTAGCCGGCTAGCCCGGTTAAAGAACAAAGAGAAGCAGCGCAGCAGAAATATTATCTAGTTTGTAAAGAAGTCAGCAGACCGGGAGGACTGTCTGGCTTCAAAGCCCGCTGTGTGAAAGGAGATAGTCGGGGAGGGCTGCTCTGTCTGTCTCCGTAGTGAAAAACGGAAGAAGACCTCCAACATGCAGGAAGCCAAGAGGAGACCCCGAAGACGTCCATTAACCCCCGCTTTAAGTTACCTCCAGTTCCGTCCGAGTTCTCGTTTAAGCTGCCGGAGGAGTCGTGGTGGCTCCCGACACAGCCACCCATGGATGTTTCAGCAGAGCAGCCCGGGTTAGGTAGCTCACCCCCCGGCCCACACAGAGCTACATCCACTAACCCCCACTCTCTTGCTTTTCTCTGTCCCCTCCCTCTTTTCCTCTCCTTTTTTTTTCTATTTCCTTGTTTCCTCCTGTCCTCCCTCACTCTTCCTCATTGCACAGCAGTCCTCATCTTTCTCATTTGCAGGGGGGGAGACAAGGTAAGAGAAGAGCCATCATTCAGCTCCTCTGGTGATGATGATGCACTTTGACACACGTGCTGTCACGTTGTGTGAGAAGCTGTTAGCTGTCCCAGTGAAGACACGTCAGAATATTTACCCTTGTGTTTGTGAATGTCATCGAAGCCCTGCTGCTGCTGGAGCAAGAGGACTGACTCCAGGTCTGGGTCCTGCACCAAGTCTGCAGATGTTCACCGTTTAGTTTGCTGCTTCAAACACTGCAGCATGAAGCACAGCTGCACTGGCCTCAGTGGATTCAAGGTGACTTTACAGTGTTGTCATTTGCATCACATGCGGTACATGAGGTGGAATGAAATTGTGTATTCAAGGTCCCAGTTACACACAACACTAGCAAAAATATAAAGTATATATAAAGAAACAGTATACGAGGATCTAAGAAAGCTCAAAGCCCGGGGGCCGAATGTGGCCCAATCAAAAACTTGTTGAGGAACCTGTGAGCAAGAAAAGAAGTTGGATATCTGATTTGAGTTAATGTAGATTCTGAAACTGGTCCTAGTTTGAAAAAAGTTTTAATTTTGGCCCCCTTTTGTAAGTGAGTTTGACACCCCTGATCCGAGATATATGCTAAATAAGTATAATATAATATACTGGTTAATATGGTGTATTAACCAGCGGCCTGAACATGAGTCTGTGTGCATGAGTCATGTATTCATTTTAAACAAGTGCAATTTAAAATTTTTAGCAACCTACTCAATAAAAAAACGTACAAGCTTTTTTTCATGGTGGTATTTTTTGTGAGAAAGCATAATGAAAAAAATAAAGTTTATAATATTAAAGGGATCGTTGGGTCAATGTTTTCAGGAAGTTTTGTGAAATAGTTAGTCCTTAAAGTCTTAACAGTCACTTAAAGAAAAGGCGAAGGCTATTAGCTAGACGTGAGCAACTTAAGGCTCGAGGGCTAAAAATGGCCCTTGGACAATCTCCATCAGGCCCCCAATATATTTAGTAAAAAAAAAAAAAAAAAGATTGATATATAAAAAAAAAACCCAGCCATTTATCAAAGAGACTAAAGAAAATTGAAATAAAAAAATCATATGCAAAAATGTTTTTAAAACATTGTTTTTAAGTCATTGTATTTCCAGAACTGGACTGAACCTTAAATACTTAGAAACATAAATATGTACGTTTGTTTTGCATATTTCTGCTAACGGCGGCACGGTGACACAGTTGGTAGAGCTGCTGCCTCTCTGCAAGTTGGTTGCCGGATCAAATCCCGGCCAAGGTGTATTCTGGGTGGAGTTTGCATGTTCTCTCCGTGCATGCGTGGGTTTTCTCCGTGTACTCCAGTTTCCTCCCACAGACCAAAAACATGCATGTTAGGCTGATTGGTAACTCTAAATTGTCCCTAGGTGTGAATGAGAGAGTGAATGGTTGTTTGTCTCATTTGTCTCTATGTGTCCCTGTGATGGACAGGAGACCTGTCCAGGGTGTCCCCACCTCTCGCACAGTGACTGCTGGATATGAACACTAGTGACCCCCATGACCTGAAAAGGAAGAAGCGGGTAAAGATAATGGATGGATGGATATAACATGTTAAGCTAACGTGTATAATATGTCACAAGTCAAGAGCCATTTTACACAACTTGCTTTATATTCCTATAGAATATTGGAAAGACATGTTTTTACAAAGCGTGCTAACTATGCTATAACAAGAAAAATGTCTGACAAAGGTCTTCTAGATCATCTGTCATGAATAAAATTTATTTTCCAATTCTCTATGCGGCCCTTTGATCGCTTTAAATGTCTTGACATGGCCCTTTGGAAAAAAACGTTGCCCACCTCGGGCTAGGCAAACAAGGGCCCGGTTATATAGTTTTTCAGGCCTATAAAATAGTAATCTTTCTCCAAAATGTAATACTGGTGCAAAAAAAACACTACAATAGCTACTCTTGTGCACGTTTGTATTTTTTTTAGTTTGTAACTGTTTTGCCAACTGAACAACCTCTGTGTTGCCATGCAAATGACTTTGACTCCATATACCGTGCTGCTGGTGCCGAGGCTGCTGAATGTAGCGACCTGTTGTATCAGCAGTCAAAAGTTTACGCAAGACACTGACATTTACAGTCACAGCACACATTTCATACCAGTATGACATTTTTGAAAAGTAAAATAAAGAATAAAATGAAATCAAATGGGCCCTCGTTTGGATAGCCGTTAGCCTAGCCTGGAGATAAACATCTCCTCTTTTCTTTGTACGTCATGTTTTGTGATTAATGATGATGACTGGTATTATTTTTTTAAATCCCAGTTTTTACTTCTCTAAACTGGTCATTTTAGCACACATTTTGTGGAAACTTACTCAGTATGTTTAGTCAGTATATTATTGAAGGTCTTCATTTGCACTTGGAAGTCAGATTTTTTTAATTCAGAGTAAAGAAAATAACTTGGGATGCCTGCTGAAGTTGACATCTCAACTCAGAAAGTTGGAAGTTTTTGGCAAGCCTCATCTTCACAATCCAAGATGGCTGCCTTGTGCATAAAAAGTGATGGTAGCAGCAGAACTAACCTGGTTATTGTCAATTGTCAGTTTCTATTATTAAATCAGACCCACCCATAATAATACTTTCATTAAGAAACATGCTACTGTTTGAATGCATAAAATGTAGAAAAATAAATGATCAGCTTGTTTTGAGTCACAGATCCTAACAAAAAGCAAATCCTATTAGTTTTCAGACTTGCAACTGGAACACAATTAAATTGGGTCACACCATCCCCAGACTTCCCATGTATACGAAGCCCAGCGTAGTTCAACCTGCTTAGGTAAGTGCACGTTCGCTACTAAAATAATTCACATTGTTTTAAAAGTGGGCAGTTTATAACAATATAAGACATTCCTTATGTTCAAAAGACACACAAATTGGATCATTTGGCTTGATGTGTTTTTCTGGCTACAACAATGTGGGATGAAAAGCCCCTAATGTGCATTTCAAATCAATTATTCTCTGTATTATTCTCTCTGGCACAAGCGGGTTTTGGTAGGAAAACAAGCACAGCATTTAAATGTGCTAGTTGTAGCTAAATCAAGATGAAATGGCCCTTTTGTAGCAAGGTTTTTATGCATCTTATGTAATGTGCTTGTTACATTCATTTTACACCAACACATTTCACTAGGAGTTTCTTTTGATGCAATTCCTCAGTTTAAATTCTAAATAAAAGTGTCAGAGGACAGACTGAAGCTTATTCCCTCAAAAACACGAAGCATCAAATGAAGCCATTTTATAAAGTGTTTAATATTCAACAAATTTCTTGAAGTTTGAATTTCTTGGCCTAGCATAAAGCTATGTACTAAGTTCTTTTCTGTTCTGCTCCCCTGGCATGTCACGTGTTTTCTGCTCTGTGTAGCTGACGGACAGACTCCTGGCTGGTCACTATCTTTAGGACTGTCTTAAAGAGGCTTGGATGTAATTTGACACACTGACACACACAAACATTTCGACCCACAGTGACTCACACACCGGCCAACGCACAAACACACACATACAATAGCAACAGGATAGCAAGGGTACGTTTACAACAAAGCTGTCTGGAATTACAGTTATTTCCCATTGCTGAGATCTGAAGAGAGAGGAGGGAGCTTTATTTCACCTCCCCTCACCCCCAGACTGTATCTGCAGGATGTAAGTGACACAACATGATGCTTTAATGCTGCTATCAAGGTCATGATTTAATAAGCTCGTCAGCGCTTCTATATAAAGACTCCATTCATCTCGCAAACGGTTGAATGTCATCCTCAAACTTTTAACACATAAAATGGAAGCTGAAGACATAAAGTGGTTGGTTTCTATATAAACCTCTCACCAGAAGCTATTGCCTGGTCAGAGCCCCGGCTCAGATGTGAAATATTACCCACACAGACGGCTCAAGGCAAGAAGGAGCTGTTGCATACTAGTGTGACAAGCCCGCTTCTGAGAATGACAGTGACCTCTAGTGACCTCTAGTGACTTTACTTTGTCCAAGTGAAGGCTTGAATAAGTTGTGATGCATTTGTTCAATTTGCAAAACAAACAGAAAGTGCACATTCAGTATTTCATCATCAGAATATCTTCTCACAATAGTTCAAGTGAGAATACTGCAGCTATAACAAATAAGTCATAAAGACTGACAGGCTTGTGTTGCTACAAATTAAAAATAAAACGGACACATTAAATGAGCTATTTACTGTGTGTTCTGAATGCTTTTACACTCTGTTTTATTGAACTTCAGCTGCTTGTGCACTGCTCAGGCTGTAGATGGGGCTAAAGAGATTTAACCGACCCAGTCAGACCAGAATATTGTGCCTGCATATTTGTTTTTGAGAGAAACATTGTTGGTTTTTTCATTGTGTGAATGTTTATGAAGTGTTCACACTGTTGTGATCCATTTTTCTTCTGTACGTTTTTCAGCATCTTTCTCGTCCCGCAGTTTTTGTGCTGTTTCAACAAATCATATATCAAAACGTTCAGCGCTTTCAGGAGAAGGCATGACATTTTTTTCCCCTCACTGAAACTGAATTGAGCTCATTTTACATCCTTCAAATCTTTAGTTCTGTTTTACTTTTACTGCTCCTTTCACAGTTTGTTCTGGTTCAGCTACTTTCAGCTTCCTTGAGCAAATTTAAACTTTTTTCCAGCTACTTTCAGCTGTTTTTTCAGATGTTTTGTTCTTTCAGATTCTTCTGCTAACTACAACAATTATGCACTTGTAAGTTCTTTATAATTTCAGCTTGTTATGCTCCTTTCAGCTTCTTTCTACAAGTTTCAACTTTTTCAGCTATTTCAGCTACTATTTAGCTGTTTTTGCTAATTTTAGCCTTTTCAACTACTTCCACATTTTTTGCACTCATTTAAACTTTTTTTC